ATTCCTGTGGCAAATTGTATATACAAATCTCTATAATGCAAAAATATGCGATTCGAATCGATCCGATTCGTAAATCCGAAAGTGGCATTCCTAGTTGACACTTACAAAATAATTTAGAAGGAAGACCAGAAGACATAATGACAATTAAAATACTTCATTCACAACCGATTTTTGGAAACACAACTAAAAACTGACAAATAACACGCAAAACCGAGGCAATGTTCACTTGAATATCTGTCTGAGCGAACGAAGTGTCTGAGCGGCTGCCAGAATTCTGATTGTTACGTCATCGTAGACTTTTTGCTGATTGGTCATTGTTACGGAAATAAACAAGAAAATCGATGGTCGGGAAAACACCCATTGTAAGCTAGAGAAGATATTTATTACAGTGACCTTTTTTTACCTAGTTCATTTGTTTCCGAGACAAAATAGATGGCGCCACTTTAGTATGAAATCTCACTTACCGTGATCTCAATCGCATACCAACATGGCGCTATAGGATATTGAGTAATTTAGCTTGTTTTGGTTAATAGTTACATACAATACAACTAGAAGCGAACCAAAGTGAAAAAAAAACAATTAGAAGATCTGTTCGCTGCTATGACATTACAGCGTCATGCCCTCGGGATACCATAACGAGTTATAAATGGCCGCTTGTTAGGAGGCATTAAGAACAATGGGCAGCTGGAATTATCGACTCGTCGTGCGTGCATTGAAATTTGGATTTTGTTTGGCTTATCAGCCATGCTTTGGAATTGTTCTTTGTATTTATAAATATATACAATTGCAATAAATGTATTCGGAACCATGAATATGTCTTCGTCAGATCAGATACCAACAACAGCTAAGCCAGCAAACAACAAGAAATATCCTATTAAACCCTACAGCGCCACTTTAATATGCGTTCGATCCCATAAAGACATTCTCATAGAATTGAGTTCCTACCCTCCCAGTTTACTTCGGTCACCTTTTTTACACTCATTGTATGATGAATTGATTACGTGTAGCGTGAGCAGGCCTAGTGCTACCGTCAAGAAAACAACCAAGTTCGTCTAAGTTGGGACCTCGGGACCCAGATAATAAAAAAAATGGATTGTGCGGCGCAATTCATTCTCTATTTACCGATCACAAGACGTCATTCCCATATAGCCACCGTCTTGACGTTTATAGATACAACATTGAAATTTCGTGATTTTGACAAACATCAATCCCGACATCGGGGTTAGAAAAAGACTATTCCCAGTTGGAATAGTTTAAAAATAAATCAAAATTGTTTTGCTAATAAATACAAATAACTGCCAATAGTTTAGTAGTGTTCGCTAAAATTGTTCTGAGCGCCGCACAGAATGTGTCGTCGGGTCGCAATTTGGACCACCTCACTTATTGTAATGACAGCCATCAGTGAAATATTCCGTGTGTATAATATAGAAATTGCAACCAGTGTTCAGAATTTGAACCTTTCTAGTCATAGTCAAGATTTTTTCTGGTATTCATATCAGATAAAATGCTTTAACATTTATCGTTTGATTTCCAATTTTTGGAATGGCATATATATATATATATGCAGTATATATATATATATATATATATATATAATGACTGTTTCCCGTACATTTGAACCCACGACAATTGCACCTGCATACTATTGCACCTATGGAATTTTTTTGTTTTGTGGATATTTGAACCCATACTACCCCTAACCCATGGGTTTTAGCACCCGCATATAGATTGAACTCGGATATATACACACGTGTTCAAATGTACGGTCACCATAATGACTGCTCTCAAAATCTTGCAATGTGAATATTTTTTGTTTTCAAATGTGTTATCAAAGACAAACCTTTTTTGTTAGGAATGAAATTTTTTTTAAAGTTCAAATTAATCTTATAAAAAAGGAAAAAATACTGAAAATAAGAAGACTTTCTCTTTTTCAGTAATCCCTTTATATCATGGTTTTTGCTGCTAGATAAAAATCGTTATTTTAGTATTTTTATTGAGTAACCAAATTTAAAAAAGATTTGAGTTTTTTATAAAATAGGTATTTATGTAATGCTGCGCACCTGTCTGTTAACTCAGATTTTATTTTAAGAATTCCGAAACCCATTAAAATGGAGATTTAGTATGACATGCACATTTGTGAATTTGTTTCGTCATAATGAATTATCATTGTTACCGCTGGACTATTGTGACGTCATAAAGTCAAAATAACCTCGGCGAAATATTTTCGAGTTTTTGCATCTCGGATTCTAGCTCAGCGTGTATTAATTTGAATTTATACTACTGTATAGGAAGGCGTGCACTTGTGATATTCATTGTACGAGTCCAATTCACCTTGGTTGGCTTTTATATTGGATGCATTGCTGTTTTATTCTTTATATTTAATCTTAATCTCATTTCGGTGGGTCTGCAGAACGTGTTATATTGATGAAATATATATTTTTAAACATAAAAAATAATGTAATTGAAACAGATTAGCTATTTTGGTTGGGGATCGGACATTGTAGATACTGAGAATTACATTCGTTTTTGGAATGTTTAGTTTTCAGGACTGGTGCATATAGTAAAGTTGCAAAATTGCGTATGTCTCCAAGTCATAACCACATTTCTGCCTAAGTCACAGTGAACATTTCTGCCTAAGTCATCCGAATTGAACATTTTCCAAAGAGTTATATTTGGGTCAAACCATTTGAACGAAATGGCTCAACTAAACAGAGATACTCAACTTTCTTTGGACATCTTAGATTTTAGTGTGGCTTTGAATTTAAAAAAAATCCGATGAAACACGATTTACCACGTCGACGAAGGTTGTATTGGGAAGTATTTTATTAGTTTGTCGTCGCAACTGACAGAAGCAGGAGAAATTAGCCTCCTACCAGCAATAGCTCACTAGAAATAGCACCGGTCTCAAATTTGGCTGCTAAAATACAAACATCTGCAATGTCAAAACTTCCTTGTCGTTCTTGACAAGCACACTTCGAAATTAGGGCATGATTTATCCGTTAAAGGCTTGCATCTAGACTCGGTGTTTCTTAACCTTGGTTAGATCGAACCCCTGGGGTTCGGTGAAACTGTACCAGGGGTTTGAGAAAAGTCCTATGAAACATTTGAATATTATGAAGTATTTCTATTATCTGGCCTATCAATTATATAAAAATAATTTGTTTTACATCAGATATCCAAACTAACTCACAAAACAGCTTAGCTATGTGTAGTTTTGCACGGATATATTATGAGTTTCTGTGGACCCCACAAGATTCATTTCCATGGCATACTTCATCCAAAATGTCGCACGTTTTGGTGCGCTTTGGCATGATAGCGTTTTTAGAAGATTTCTGCTTATGACTACGAAACATGCGAGTTGTTATGACATACGGTACGTTGGGGATTCACGATGAATATTTGGAGTTTGAAAATAAATAATGAGAGCCGTTACCGCCCTTTTTTTTGTTTGTTTCAGCTTCCGGATCTCAAAAGTGTCATTTCTGGCCTTTCCACCCACGAGTTAATTATACAACATAAAACACTTTTCTTCCCACAAGTCATCTGTTGTAGATGCCATTGTGGCACAACAATGGCTATTTGGGCAGAATTTTTCAAAGTCAAACCAATGACTGAATGATACCTTCAACACTTTTACCTAGTGAAGTCATGGATTGTTACACTATCTATGTGTTAAAGGTGTCGATGGTTACACCACAATGATCCCAGTGGTTGTTAGTTTCTCCGAAAAAGGCGGTCCGGCGCATCGTGCTAAGCGTTAGGAATACGCTCGACAGCGCATCTCTGATTACCCTTCGTGGGTTCGCATCCCCTGCGGGGATGATCATGTGCGAGAGAATTGAACTCCTCGGCGCGGCGGTGTGGCTCAACGGGCTAAGCGTTAGGAATACGCTCGCCACCGCACCTCTAATCACTCTGCGTGGGTTCGCAGGTTCGAATCCCATGCAAGGATGGTTATGTGCGAGAGGATTGCTGGACTCCTCGCCGTCGTTGGGTGGTTCACGTAACCGCTGGTCGGTTACGGCTTCCTCCACCACCAAGTCCATGCTTCCGAAAACAAACAATACAGTAAAACTAATCCCATACCCGACTTGGAATGGTAACCGGACGAGAGGCCGTGGTTCGCCATATGGATAAGCCGTCTTATCGGCTTTCCTCTCCCCCGGGATAAATATGTAAATCCTATCCTATCCGCCACAGGGTGATTCACGTAACCGCTGGTCGGTTACGGCTTCCTCCACCATCAAGTCCATGCTTCCGAAAACAAATTAACTGGCTAACTAATCCCATACCCGACCTGGTAATCGAACAAAAGGACGTGGTTCGTTATATGATTAAGCCGTCTTATCGGCTTTCCTCTCCTCCAGGATAAATATGTAAATCCTATCCTAAAGCCTGAGGAGGTTTTTGAGGAGTATGTCAACCAGAAAAGGCACTCAGTCAGATGATGAAATTTACATATTTATGCAGGGGGAGATGAAAGAGAAAAAAAAGACTGCTCAATCATCTGGCGAACCACAGCGTCTGGTCCGGTTACCAGTCCATGTCAGGTATGGGATGGTGGAGAAAGCCATTACCAACAGAAACGTACGCATTGATACCTACGTGCGATTCTGCTGGTGATACACAAATGTCCTAAGAATACTAATGTACACAACTTCATCATGCCCATACAACTAGCTATCAATTAAATAGAGAGCTTCGGCTTCTGCACATTGGAAAAAAAACGGTAATCGAGCTTCCTCACCTCACAAACCTAAATTCAATATTTCCCTGCTCATGAAAAAGCGTGGTTGCGAATAGGGTCATGAAAAATTAATCAACTCCGATAACAGGTTGAAAAAAAATTTGGACTCTCAAAAATGAAATCCAATGTCATTCTTCAAATTATTATGTCTGGGCAGCTGTTTGCCAAACATACTTATATTTGTGGCCAGTGGTACAATATTCTACATAGCTCTCCTGAAACTCCTGGTTTGAAATAAAGATCATGCAATTAGAATAATCTTAAACAATAATTTGTATTACGACATCACAAAATCAAAAAACAGCAAAATGGGATGGAACTAAAACTTTGCTCAATCGTCTGGTTTGTATTTGCGACTCAACTTGCAAAATGTCAATGCTGGACCCCAGACACAGATGTTCATCACGACAAAAGCAGCCATGAGTTCCTGAAAATAAGCATTGTATAATATATTGCTTTCACTTAATAGAGGTATTCACTCGGATGACCTAAATAATTCTATACTGCATATATAATGATTATTAGAGCAGGGGTGCACAACTCCAATGAGAAAATGTGACAAAATAAATTAAAATATTTTAACAGCATGTCACAAGCTAATGTCCAAAGCTAATATTTTCTTATTTTTATTATTGAGTATGCCTGTTCACAGCTGCACTTGCTGCAAATTGACAAATCCTGATTTTTGCATTTCTCAACAAAACTGGTTATTTTTTCTTTTTAAGGCGAAAGTTCAGTAATGAATTTTGTTGTAAAACATCATTTAAAAGATGGTTGAATTCTAGAGTCCAGAGAAGTTTTAGTTGATTGTCAGCTTCACCAATATATTTAGTATCCACCTTAAATAAACAAATTCTTTTGCATCTACTGACCATCAAGGACCTTGGAAATGATTAGTTATTAAGATTTATAATAAATACAATTTATACCAAACTGTCCTGTGTTTTGCACCCCTGGATTATAACATTACTGTTCATCCCAAAAATGCATCATTCAACAACAGTGTACACAAGTAGAATATGTAATACCAAAATATAATAATGAAAGTTCTAAATACCCCTAATGGGTGTGACTTGGTAACACTGGGACAACAGTCGTTGAATAAAAAAAACTTATTTTATTCCAAACAAAAAATCTCACCCCAACTGTAACTTTATTTACAGGAGGTCTGTAGTGAACTACTCCATGAGTGAGTCCTCTTCTTTGTGCATTTACAAGAGGGGTTTTCAGCAACCGCAAAGCAATCGAACGAAGCATTGTCAGATAGTGATGTTTCCAAAACTTAATTCATAATAGATAAATGATATAATATGAACAAGAAAAATAAGTTCAGATTACCAAAGAAAATTAGAGTCTACTACAATTTATTACATATCTACCTCAAAATAGAACTGACTGGCCTACACTATAAGGTTTTTTTAGACTCTTATTGAGCCAAGAACAAAAGGAATTATGGATGGTGCGAACAATCTTACAATGACATAAAGATTCCAATGCTCTCAGAAATTATGTGTCATTGGTCTTGGGGTTAGGTCATAACCAGAATACAATTATCAACATTGGTTTATGCTGACTAATAATATCAAATGAAATAATATCAGCAGACAGGTGAAACAAATCTAAAAATAGTTCTATAGCCAATCTATTATTCATATTGAACCAAATAAAGTTTGGTACTATGTATTGTAGTACTACATTTTTTATTGAAAAGTACTTGTGGTACTAAACTACAGAACTATACTAGACCCCATCACCCCACTAAGGCTATATAGAATAGGATTTACATATTTATTCGGGGGAGAGGGGAAACCGATAAGATGGCTCAACCATATGGCGAACCAAAGCCTCTCATCCGGTTACTGGTACCGTACCATTCCATGTCGGGTATGGGATTAGTCTAGTTGGTTATTTGTTTTTGGAAGCATGGACTTGATGGGGAGGAAGCCGTAATCGACCAGCGGTTACGTGAACCAACCTCCGAACCTACCCTCAATTAGCCTATCACAGTATTATTACTGTATTACCGGTACTACCGTACCGTACTGTACCATGTGGCTCAGCCCTCAGTGGATGCATTATACAATTACGGATACTGAGTTATAGATCCTGAGATCAGGCTAAATAGCCTACATTATCGGTACCTGATTACTGGACACAGACTCCTTATTAATGCAGTAATGGGGTCTAGTATAGGTCCAGGCGGCGTAGCATAACGAATTTCAGAATTTTGCATATGTTATTCCTAACCCCACCTGACTATGCCATCCAAAAATTACGTCACTACTATGTCGCCATCACATCATAGGTCTTGCCAAAGTATAATTACGATCGCCCGAAATGACATCTGCGCCGCCGATAACGAACTCGCTAAAGCCGGCGATCCCTCTCCTATGTGATCGTTGTGACGAGAAAACAAGAGAGATAGCTTGCCTTATTTCAGGTGCTCGTCTGCGCGTTTTGGACGACCATTCGCATATTTTGGTGGACATTAGTACGCCACTGTGACATCGAAATGACGTAATTTTTGGGTGACGTAGTCAGGTGAGGGTTAGGATTGACATATGCAAAAATTGTTGAGCCAGGCCAACTAGAAGTGCATGTGGTACTGAACTATACCAGACCCAAGCCGGCGATCTCTCTCCTATAGTGATCGTTGTGACGAGAGAAATTGCTTGCTCGATTTCGGGTGATCGTCTGTGCGTTTTGGACGAGCATCCGCATACTTCGGTGGGCCTTATTACGCCACTGTGACGTCGAAATGACGTAGTCAGGTGAGGGTTAGGATTGACATATGCAAAAATTGTTGAGCCAGGTCAACTAGAAGTACATGTGGTACTAAACGGGTCTCGTGTAGTTTCGTACCTAACGTACTTCTAGTGGGCGTAGCATAACAATTTTTTGATATGTCAATCCTAACCCCTATCTGATTACGCCATCCAAAAATTAAATCACTACGACATCACAATCATGTCATAGAGCTTGCCAAATATACGCACGATCGACCGAAATGGCATTGGCGCCGATAAAGAACTGACTGACGTTATCGGTCTCTCTCCTATTGGAATCGTTTCGACGAGAAAACGTGAGAAATAACTGTTCGATTTCGGGTGCTCGTTTGCGCGTCTTGGATGGCAGTTCGTATAGTTTGAAGGGCTCTATTACGTCACTGTGACGTCGTAATGACGTAATTTTTGGATGGTGTAGTCAGGTGGGGGTTAGGATTGATATGTGAAAAAATTGTCATGCTACGCCCACTAGAAGTATGTTAGGTAAGAAACTACATGAGACCCGTACTAAACTATACCAGACCGGCTTTAGCAAGTTCATTATCGGCGGCGCAGATGTCATTTCGTGCGATCGTAATTATACTTTGGCAATCCCTATGACGTGTTGGTGACGTAATTTTTGGATGGCATAGTCAGGCGGGGGTTAGGAATAGCATATGCAAAATTCGTTATGCTACGCCCACCGGAAGTACTTGTGGTACCGGTACTAAACTATACTAGACCCCGGTACCGTACCGTACCGGGCGGTACCGTACCGTACCGTACCCCAATCTTTACCTGATGTGCACGGGCGCAGTGCTGATACCGGTAACACATGCCACGCGCTGCAATGTTATAAGATATCCAAAGTGACTGGGTTATAGTCACTTTGGTTGTTACATAGGTACGGTAACCTACATGCCACGGCCCACGGCAAACAATCTGATGAACAAACCGAGGCGAGATTTAATTCAGATTCTCGGGCAGTCGAAAGTCAAACGAAGAGGTGGACAGAGCTGAATCTGTGAAAGTAAACTATGCCTTTATCACGCGTTCAAATCCTCCACGATTGTCTTATCGACATACATGATGTTTATAAGCCAGTGATATTCAACCTTTTTCAACGTGTTACACCTTTTACAATTTTTCAAGAACTTTGTATACATAACAAATACCGATGTTTAATTATGAACAGAAAGTAAACAAGAGAGCTATGCTCAAATATATGGACACGTAGAGTCACATAATTTTGATGACGTGATAGCGAAAAAAAAGTAATAGCCTTCTGGAGAAAATTTTTATCTTTAACCACTGAAAATTTCAAAGCAATTGGTCCAGTATTCGAAGAGAAAAGCGACTTTTTAAAAACGTGTCAAAGAACAAGAACAACAACATAATATTGAAACGATCGTTATGTCCACTACGTGACCAACAAAGAGATGAGAGCTGAATTCACGGCGGTACCGGTACCTAACGTAGGTGCGGTACTGAGTTAGCAGTCAGCCAGCATCTTACCTGTACACTGTAGGCCATATACGGTAATTGATCACAGAACAGTTGTTTCCTTTCAAATTTTATGTTGTTTACACTTTAGGACAGATAATTGATCAGAGCTATGCTCAAATATATGGACACGTAGAGTCACATAATTTTGATGACGTCATAGCGAAAAAAAAAGTAATAGCCTTCTGGAGAAAATTTTTATCTTTAACCACTGAAAATTTCAAAGCAATTGGTCCAGTATTCGAAGAGAAAAGCGACTTTTTAAAAACGTGTCAAAGAACAAGAACAACAACATAATATTGAAACGATCGTTATGTCCACTACGTGTCCAACAAAGAGATGAGAGCTGAATTCACGGCGGTACCGGTACCTAACGTAGGTGCGGTACTGAGTTAGCAATCAGCCAGCATCTTACCTGTACACTGTAGGCCATATACGGTAATTGATCACAGAACAGTTGTTCCCTTGCAAATTTTATGTTGTTTACACTTTAGGACAGATAATTGATCACAGAACAATTCTTCCCTTTCAAATTTTATGTTGTTTCCAGTAGACTCTCATCAAATAAACAAATATAGTAGGCTACAAGTGCTACAACGCTTGCATTACTGCACTGGTAGGACCGTGAAAGAATAAGTTACGGTAATTTCATTGTGGTAAGACACCGGTACCGGCACCAGTACCAGTATCGTACTTACGTACTGAGCTACCAGTACCGGTTAGCAGTCAGCCAGCATCTTACCTGTACACTGTAGGCCATATACGGTAATTGATCACAGAACAGTTGTTCCCTTGCAAATTTTATGTTGTTTACACTTTAGGACAGATAATTGATCACAGAACAATTCTTCCCTTTCAAATTTTATGTTGTTTCCAGTAGACTCTCATCAAAATAAACAAATATAGTAGGCTACAAGTGCTACAACGCTTGCATTACTGCACTGGTAGGACCGTGAAAGAATAAGTTACGGTTATTTCATTGTGGTAAGACACCACACCGGTACCGGCACCACACCAGTACTGCAGTACCAGTATCGTACTTACGTACTGAGCTACCAGTACCGGTACCGAACCTGTAGGTCTGATATTCCGTTCCGCATGCGATAGGTTATAAAACTTGCATTGCAGCATTAGTAATACCGCGGAAGGAATAAGTCAATTTCACTGCGTTACGGTACCGGTATGGCAACTTACCAGTACCGACCTACAGTAGCTGTAGTACTGAGCAAGACAATCGATCGCGAAACCGCTTGAAATAAGTGTAAAACAGTGTTCCCATGAGTAAAAATAAATACCGCGAAATTTTGTATGAAATATCATATCTCATAGGATATAATCTCATATAAAATTTAAGAATAAATAAAAGTAATAGCCTTCTGGGGAAAAATATAATCTTTACTCACTGAAAATTTCAAAGCAATTGGTCCAGTAATCAACGAGAAAAGCGATTTTTTCATAACGATACCAAGAAGAAGACAAATAAGAACAAGAACAACAAAAATACTAAAACGATCGTTATGTCCACTAACGTGTCCAAAAATGAAATCCGGGGAGTGTGGGCCAAGTCATTATAAATGATTCTTTTAGTTCTTACTGAGAGAAGCAGCTACGAATTCCACGCAAAAGTTTGGAAAAAAACAAAGTTAATTTAGTAGCTTCTTTGTTCTTATATAGTATGGCATTTTGTTTTCAAATGCTCCCCACATGAAAGAATCATCATTAAGATTTAGGTTTCACTTTTTTGACTTGATTTTACCAAGACTAGAAAACTCTTTTCCACAAGATTTTTGCACTCGGGAAAATTCTAGAAACAATCAAAACTAACGATCGCCAAGCAATCTGATAAGATGCAACAACAGGAATAATATTTACCGTTAACCAAGACATATGCCTGCTACTATCGGTTCTTTGCGGAAATGACATTTATACTTCATTGTTTTAAATGCCGAAGTTAGCGTAAATCAGAATATTGTGTCGGCTGAAGGATGTCTTTGACACTCTTCCAAAAAAGCCCCCCCCTCTGATTATG